TACCAGTCAGCAGGGAGGAGGAGGTGGGCGGTGACGGGTGTGAGCATGTGGCTTATGCGAAATGGCCCGCAGTATCGGGGGCGGAGTTTCGAGGTGATGGGCAGTCGGAGGTTCTGAGTGTCAAGTAAAACTAAGTCGTCGGGTTGGTAAGTGACAGGTTTGCGGTGGCGGTCGGCATTGCGTTTAGCGATGATGTTTGATTTTTTTACTGCGTCTCCTGCCCGGGTCCGTGCTGCTTGTAATATTTCGGCGAACTGTTGTGCTCGTGGTACTGGGTTGTTGGGATTCGGGGTCATGGGTACTGTCGGGTCTTGTCCGTAGTTTAGGTAAAATGGTGAGTGTTGGGTCGTGGCGGATGGCGAGTTGTTGTACGCGAATTCGATTAGTGGCAGTTGCTGTTCCCACGTGGTCGGGTCGTCACACGTGGCCCTGAGGCGCTGTTCCATGGTCTGATTTGTCCGTTCTGTCTGTCCGTCGGTGTCGGGGTGGTATGATGAACTGAATTGCAGTCGTGTGCCGAACTGCTACCACAGGTTCCGCCAGATGTTGCTGGTGAATTTCGTGTCGCGGCCGTTGATGATCGCGGCTGGTATCCCGTGCAGACGAACGACGGTGGAGATGAAGAGGCGTGCTGTTTCTTCGGCTGTGAATGATTTTTTGCAGGCTGCGAAATGTGCCATTTTCGTCAGTCGATCGACGACGACCAGGATCGCATCGTTCCCACTCGCCCCGGCTGGTAACCCCGTGACGAAGTCCATCGTCACCTGCTGCCAAGCGCGCTCTGGGGGTGGTATCGGCTGCAACTGTCCCGCCGACCGCTGTCGTGATGATTTCATGAGCTGACAAGTGGGACACGATGCCACATGTCGTTGTACGTTGGTCAACATTTCGGGCCAGTAACAATACTGCTGCAGCTTCTGCCGTGTTTTTTCAACTCCGAAATGCCCCGAGATAACTCCGTCGTGTGCCTCCTGTAACACTAATTCCTGTAGCAGTGTATACCCCGGCACCCAAATGCGAACAGTCCCGGATTTTACCTAATAGACTCCCCTTGCTGCTGCGAACTGCTGCGAATTTCCTCCTGTGAAGAATGGATCAATTTGGTACCCGTGGGTGAATAGGCCTGTCAGTAGCGGGCTTGTCTGGGCAAGTAGTATCACGTGGATCTGGGCAGTGGGACTGGGTTAGTGCGTCGGCCATGTTCGAGGCTCCCTTTTTGTAAGTGACCGTGTAGTGAAAGTTGGACTCGAGGAAGTCGAGCCAGCGAATCTGTCGTGGGTTGAGGTGTGGGTGTCCGCGAAGGTACCGCAGTGATTTATGGTCTGTCCGTACTGCCACGTCCGCGCCAGTCAAGTAACAGCGCCATACTTTGAACGCGTGCACGATCGCAAGCATTTCGCGGTCGTGTATAGGGTAATTTTTCTCGGGCGGATGCAATTTTCGTGACTCGTATGCGATAGGCTATAGGCCATTGCCGAAATCGTGTAGCAGTACACCTCCGATGGCAATATCGCTTGCGTCAGTAACTACTTCGAATGGGCGGTGTGGGTCGGCGATGCGCAGGACGGGCGGTGAACAGAGAACATTTTTCAGGGCAGAGAAGGCAGCATGCTCTTTCTCCCCCAACGTAAAAGCGACCCCCTTCCGCAGTAAATCCGTCAGTGGGGCAGTTAACCGTGCCATATCGGGGACGAACCGACGCACATAATTAACGAACCCTAAAAAGCTCTGCAGCTCTGTGACGTTCGTCGGGGGATGCCACGCTTTTACCGTATCCAGCTTCTTAGGGTCGATTTCAACTCCAGCCTCCGAAATAACGTGCCCCAAAAATTCTAACCTATCCTGGAAGCACTCGCACTTGGAACCCTTGGTCAGTAATCTGTGCTCGTCTAAAACCTTAAACACTGCTTCCAGATCTGCTAAGTGCTGCTGCTTATCCTGACTGTAAACTAGGATGTCGTCGAGGTAAACTATTACACATGTATCTAAGAGCGGCCTTAATGCCTCGTTCATGGTCATCTGAAAAGTCGCCGGTGCGTTGGTCAGCCCGAATGGCATCACAGTGTACTCGAACGACCTGTACCTAGTCCTGAAGGCTGTTTTGGCGCAGTCCGATGGTTCGACTCTAATCTGATGGTAACCTCCCCGTAAATCGATTTTCGGAAAAAAAAAAACCCGTGCTGTTCGCAGTTGGTCGATCAGTTCGTCAGCGCGGGGAATGAGGTACCGCGACTTGACTGTTACCCTGTTCAGTGCTTTGTAGTCGATACACATGCGAAAACCCCCGTCTTTTTTCGGCGTGAACAATATCGGTGCGGCGAATGGTGACGAGCTCGGTCGGATTAATCTTTTCTCTAACAGGTAATCTAACTGCTTCCTTAGTTCGTCGAGCTCGGGATGTGTCAGTCTAAACTGGCGCTGTACGGTTGGTTGTGCCCCCGGTTTTAGTTCGATTCGGTGGTCATGTGCTCGCTGAGGTGGCAGTCCTTCCGAAAAGTCGTCGGGAGAAATCCTGGGGTATCGTTTCAACTGTTCCTGTAATTCAGGCGGTACGGCTGCCAGCAGTTTCTTGAAATCACTCGGCTGCTCTACTTCCTCTACTACTGCGATGTCTACTGCGTACACGTCAGCTCCAGCAGCGACAGCCCATTTCATTGTGATGGCGTTGACGTGTACCGCTGAAGACTCGGGCGACTGCCAGCGAGGTAGCTCGACCCAGTTACCACTACTTCGTACGGTGCAGCTACCCGTCGTCTAGTCAATTCGCGGGTTATACCGTCGCAACCAATCGCGCCCCAGTAAAATATCGTGCCCATCCAGTGTCGTTGCGAGCATTTCCCGTGTAAACCCGAAATTCCCCCCGCAGCGGACTTTGAATCTCTCTACCTTTTCCCGTATGGCTAGTGGTGTGCCGTCGACTAAACGTGCGTCTATCTCCGGTAAGCAACGGCTAAGTGTCAGCTGCATTTTTTGTGTGGTTGCAGTATTGACTAAACTGTGGCTTGCTCCTCCGTCGATAAAAATCTTCACTACTGCTCCCTGTATTTTCCCGTGGATCAGTACTGGGCAATCCGTCGCTGTACCCTCCTTATTCCTCCGGGTCCAATCGATAGTTTGAATCGGTACTGTGACTTGGTGAGGGTCGATGGGGTTGGGCGAGCAGGCAGTCTCGTCAGTAGTTGGCCCGATTCCTACTGACTGCTGGCGTTTCCCTGCCTTGGAGACTCCCTCCCCTGCTCTGCTCCGCGGCGCCTTAGCTCCTCTGGGCATTCTCTCTTGCGGTGGACCGGCCTGTTGCAAGCAAAACAGCGCCCCTTCAACGGCGCGGCATCTGCATTCGTCGAAATAGCGTGTACAGTGGCGTGCTCGATCGGTCCCCGAGGACGATGTCCATAGTAGGACCCCGGTCTCGGACGGCGTAAAATGTCGATTTTCTCGGCGAGCGCGAGAATCTCGTTGAAGTTCGAAAGCCCGCGTAGCATGATTTCGTGCGAGATGTCCGGCTTCAGCCCCCCGACGTAACGGTCCACCCGCTTCGCTTCGTGCATGTAGCCGACTTGCTCGCATAATGAGAGAAAACCACTCGTATAGTGTTGAACCGATCCGAGTTGCCGCCAAGTGCACAATCTCTGACGCGCTGAAATAGAAGCCGCGATCGGCTCGAAGCGCGCCCGAAGCCCTACGCACCACGCATCCCACGTGCTGTATTGGGCGGTCTCGCAGAATGAACTCCAGGTGACAGCTGGGCCCGTGGGCCCTTCCTCTTGCGACGGTGGCTCGTAGGCGCGTGGCGACGTCACGATGACTCGCCACCAGTCCATGGCGGGGGCCCTTAGCAGCGAAACGGCATACCGAATCTTCGCTGCGTCCGACTCGACGTAATTCGCGTCGAAAAAGACGTTCATCGTGAAGACCCACGATTGAACCGTCGGACCTCCAGGCTGGCTCGGGTCGAAGCAAGGCGGGCGTTGCGGCTTGAGTGGCATTGGTGCCATAATGGCCTGTTCGCCACTTGACGCCGCGAACTCCACGTGCCGACGGGCTTCGCGAGGCTCCCGCGGGCTTGATGCGACCCTGCTTCCTCCCATGCCAGGCATCAGTTGGGCGGCGCCATCGCTGGCTGTGCCAGAGTGCTGTCCCACGCTGTTGTTTTGTGTTGGTGTGCCGGACAAGATGACAATCGGCTCGTCCGATTGTGCAGATGCATTTGTCGGTGCGTGTGGTGGCGCTGGGGTGTTCATCGTTGATTGCTGACGTGCGGAGTCACGTTCCGCCGTGAGCGTCGCAATTTCGAGCGCCGAATCTTCAAGTTGGCGCACCAGACGGTCGAGCTGCTCCTGCGTCAATGTGGCGAGCGTGAATTCGGCCATGGCGGGGGTGTCGGGCGAGCTCAGCGAGAGCCTCGGTCGTGGCCGTGCGTGCTTACGAGAGAGCACTACAAGCGGCGGTGCTGTGTCGCTGAGAGACGTCTACCCCCTCCAAAATTTGAGATAGTGGTGAAGCGAAGGTGTGGGTGCGGTCCGAGAGGAGATCGTAGGCTCTGAATATCAGTTGTTACGAGTGCAATTGAGTGAACGAACGAGAATTGCACTATCGAAGCAAGAGTACAATGAGAGAAGGCATGAGCGAAGAATATATAGCGAAACTACAGTGGTAACGGTAATGGACTGTGGTTGTCACGCAACGGGCCTGAGACTGTGGTTGGGAAAAGTGTCGAAGCGGAGGCCCAGAGCGCGGGCTACCCGCCGAGCCGTGAGGTCGGGATGCGACGTGCGAAGGTGGCGGGCGGATTGTCGATGCGAGGGTTGTGAGTGGTAACGGTGCTGACTGTGGTGCTACAGTGATGTACGCGTTGAGCAGGGATGCGAAGGATAAGGAATTTTCCTTCGCATGAAACTTGATCGGACAACATGCCTCAGTGACCGACGTGGATTATATCGGAGATGCTCCACCCAACCTTCAAACATTTGCCATCCAAAACCCCCAGCAATCTTCGAAGTTCAAACCCGAAACCCTGCAGTAGCAATTAGCGCCTCCTCGCTTAGCTCAATTACCTTTCCTTTATCAATCATGATCACCATATCTTGATCAGCACCACCGCACGACTTCTTCACCCCGAAAGGCTTCCCATTCCCTGTGCTTCGTCCAATCTCCATCTCTAGATCACCCAACCGAGCTTTTTCCACCCTCTCCTTTTCTTCCGACTTCGTTTCTCCACACAACACCTTCCTCCACCAAGCCTCCGGCTGGTTCGGAAACACCTTCCCCAGCCTCGAGTCCGGCCAAGCCAGCCAGGAGCAGTAGAGCGCAGCCGCGGCAAAGATGGCAGCAACGGACATGAGCACGAGCGCGCCGAAATACCGCGGATCGTAGAGAACTATGGCGAGCGCAAACATGAGGAGCTCTGCGAGACTTGCTAGTGCCATTTCGGTGGAGCCGAAGGAGTTAGCGTATGCGGCGGGGACGGCCGTCTGGATGACTTGCGCGCCGACGATTTCGAACGTCTAGTTGCCTACCCGGGAGAGCACCTGAGGAGAATAAGGGTGGCGGCGAGGTGGGGAACGGGGTTGATTTGGCGCGTCGATTAGAATTTCCGTCACCCGTGTTAAAACCGCCGCCGCGGTAAGAGTTGCTGCGACAGGATAGGAATTCGGCGCGTGAAGAATAGCCACGATAAGAATAGCACGATGGGAAGTGCTGCAGTACGGAATTCCTCGTTAGTAGCAGACTCACGATGAGCAGGAGGAAGAGCAGCAGCAGGCCTTGCTGCAGAGAAGGCGGCGCAAAGGAGATTGACGAGAAGGTGAGCAGCGCGAGGAAGAGCAGCATCGCTTGATAGATCAGCGCCGCACTGCCGACCTGGGAAGGAGAGAGAGGAGAGGGAGAGAGCAATACGACTTTTGAGGCGCCTCAAGATGAAGAGCAGCAGCGGTTGAAATAGCAGTGCTGCACTGGCTGCCTGGGAAGGAGAGAGAGAGAGGCAGAGGGAAAGACGGATGGGGGGAGGGAGGGCGAGAGAAGAACAAGAACAGGGGACGTGGAGGATGGGTGTTAAAGTCGTTTCTCAACCACGGGAAATTGCGGAGGAAAGGAGGAAAGAGGAGGAGGAGGAGGAGGAGGAGGAGGAGGAGGAGGAGGAGGAGGAGGAGGAGGAGGAGGAGGAGAGCACACAAGATACGGGAGCTAGTGAGCGTTGGACCTCAATAGTAATGCGTACGTTTCATCCCGCCTGCTCCAGACAGCTGCGTGGTTTTCATCTCGCAACACACCATCCCTCCCATTGGCCGCACCGCACCCCTTCCCCTCTCCCAGCAGCACCCCTTGCTTCTCCCTCTACCACCGCACCTGCAGAACTCCGAGGCGAGCGACGAGCGGCGGCGAGACGAACGTAGCCGCGAACCCCATGGCGGCACACGCGCTGCTGAACTCGCCTATTACCCCCATGTGCACCCCTGCCAGGATCAGGGTTTTGGGTTTGGGAGTTGGGGGTTTCAGATTCCGATTTTGGGTTTTGGGGTACAGTCTGGTTTGTGAGAGGAATGCGCTGCGGCTGCTTGTGTGCGCGTGCGGCTGCGTGCGTGCATATACGTGCGTTGTGCGTGTGTCGTGGCGTGTGTGTGTGCGTGCGTGTGAGTATGTCGTGCGTGCGATTGTACATGCGTGCGCGCGTGCGTGCGTGCGTGCGAGTGTACATGTGTTTGTGCGAGCGTGCATGCATGCCCACTCACCATGGAGCGTGAGGTACGAGGTCATGAGCCCACCAGGAGCCAAAACAGCGTTGAAGCACAGAAGCACATATGCCATACTCGCAGGCATCACCAGCTGATGCACATAGCAGCACCACCCTTCTTTTGCCGCCTCAACCACTTGCCGCAACTCCCCCACCGCTCTCTCCAGCGCTGATCCTGCCACCTCTGCCATTCGTAATGTGGTTCCCATCCCCTGTGCTGGCTCTCCATTTGCCTTTGCGCTGCCTGAAATAGCCTCTCGCGGTTGAATGGCAGGGTGAGAGAGCGCCTTTCCTGCTGCTGTCGCTAGTGCTGCTGCTGCTGCTGCTGCTGCTGCTGCTGCTGCTGCTGCTGCTGCTGCTGCTGCTGCTGCTGCTGCTGCTGCTGCTGCTGCTGCTGCTGCTGCTGCTGCTGCTGCTGGGGCTGCCACAACGGCTACCATGCCCCCCTGTGATACTTCCCGTGGTGCAGAAGCAGGAATACCACATGCGGGTCCAGCCTGCTCCTCCTCATCAGCAGCAGGAACAGCAGTATCACCATCGTCAGCAGCAGCAGCAGCAGCAGCAACAGTACTGTAATTGACGCTTAGGACCCAATCCTGTGGCAAAGATGGTGTCACGCGAAATGAACCTGCTCCTGATCCAGTCGACCCTTGTGTCGACGTAGATCGAAACGACTCTGGTGTCAACCTTAACGACCCTAGTGTTGACCGAACCGATCCTGGTGTCGGCCGAAATGATCTTGGCGTCAACCTTAACAAACTTGGTGTCGACCTAAGTGACCCTTGTGTCGATTCAGGGGACGTCTCGGGGTCGTGAGGCTGACTAATGGCTCCATTGGACAGATAGCTGGTGAGGGAAGTGAGAGCAAGCTGCATGGGGGGAAGGGGGAAGGGGAAAGGAAGGGGGAGGGGGAGGGGTATGTGGGTATGTGGGTGTGTGGGTGTGTGGGTGTGTGGGTGAGTGGGTGTGTGGGTATGTGCGCATGCGGTTATGTGGGCATGTGAGCTGGTGGGGGTTGGCAGGCACGCACCATGGCAGGGAGGGAGAGTGCAACGAGGGCGAGGCATGCTTTGACGCAGACCAGCGGGCCCCAAGCTGCAATGAGCCATCCAAAGATGAGCGCTGCTGCTACCTGCACATGGAGTAGGGGGGGGGGGGGGAGAGAGGAAGAGAGCCAGGGGTGGGGAAGTGTCGAGACGTTTCAAGACGAGCGGGCCCCAGGCTGCAATGAGCCATCCGAAGATGAGTGCTGCTGCTACCTGCAGGTGGAGTGGAGCGAGGAGGGAGGAAGGGGGGGAAAGTGCAGAGGAAGGGAGAGCAAGGCGGGCGAATGGTGGGCGTGCAGTGCGTCAGGATCAAGAAACTGTGCAGTAGCAACAGGTTCAGTCGGTTGGCCACGGCAGTAACCAACACGGCATGTTTAGCGTGGCAGTAGCAACACGGCACTAACAAGAGCATGAATAACCAAACTTGTCTTCCCTCACCTCGCAGCTCTGCTCCACCCGCCTCAGCATGGCGCTGGCAGTCGCCAGAGGCACAGGCCGATTCGGCCCAACAAGCTGCAATGGGTGTATGGAGACAGAGGGAGGAGGAGAGAGGGAGGACGAGAGAGGAAACGGAAGAGAGGAGACGTTAAAGGGAAGCAAGGAAGCGGGGCCACGTGTGAGCAGGTGCTGGAACGTGCGTGCGTGCGTTGGTGGCACGTGTGTAAACGTGATGGCATGTATGTGCGTGCGTTGGCACATGTGTGCTTGTGTTGGCACGTGTGTGCTTGTGTTGGCACGTGTGTGCTTGTGTTGAGCTCACCACAAGAACCCAGTCATTCTCAAACGCCACTCCTGAAGCCAGTCCCATAAGTTTGTCAACACATCCCGCCACCACCAGCACAACGAACCACCCCTGCCGTAACACAGCTGTTGCGGGGACAGCTGAGAGCGCTGACGCGGCGGCTGATGTGGCAACCGGCGAAGCAGCTGACGCGGCGGCTGGTGTAGCAACCGACGAGGCAGCTGAGCCAGCAGCACCCAGTGCTGCTGCTGCTGCTGTTGCTGCTACGGCAGGGAAGGCATGTTGCAAGGCGTGTATCATGGCTGTTGCGGCGATCATGATGGCTGTGGACTGCGGAGCAACGGAGAGAGGTGGGACCGATGGAGACGGATAGTATAGGATTCTCAAAAATCTCCTGAAGGCGAGGTGTAAGGCGTGTAACACGGAGGAGGTGCTTTGGAGGCATGGCGGGAAGGTGGTGGCTTGAGCTGGCCGGGGAATGGTGGGAGATGGTGCGATCACGATGGTGCAATCATGATGGTGCAATCATGATGGTGCAATCATGGTGGTGCAATAATGACGGTGCTGAACGGTCATGCGGACCTGAGCAAGGACGATGGTGCTAAACGCACGCACTCTGGGAGCTGCATCCATGAGGCTACCCACCAACGGGCATGCTACAAATGCCACCAGCTGGTATGTGTGGGACAGTTGGCGAGATGGGGAGGTGGTGAAGGAGTGGAAAGGGAAGAGAGGAGAAGAGAAGGACATCAGCGGGGGTGGGGAGAGGGGACAGCACGAGCGGAAGAGTGTAAAGAGAGAGAAGCTTGAGGGAGGAGGGTGGGAAAAGAGATGGATATACTTTGAAGCTCAGGGGTTGGGGGGTTTGGGGGTTGGGGTTATGAGCATGAAAAAAGGGATGGAGGGAGAGAACATGAACATGTGTGTGCACAGGAGCATGTGCTCACCCGGCTAGTGAAGCTTGCTACAGCCACTGGCCACGAGTGATGCAATAACGAGAGCAGGGCTGCTCTGGCAAAGCGCCACGACTGGTCGCCAAAGCAATTGAATGTGTAGGTCCAATACAGGGCTGCAGATGGAGAAAGGCAGGAGAGAAAGGGAGTCGAGAAGAGAGGCTTTTTGACGTCTGGTTGGATACAAGGCTGTTGCATAGGGCACCAAGGCGGGGAGAGGAGAGGGGTCTGGGAGAGGAGGAGGAATTCAGAGAGTTTTAGCACGGAGAAGGTGGGAAAGAGAGGGAGAGGGCGGTGTTAAACCTCCTGGTAAGGTGGACAAAAACAAGAAGAAACAAAGGAGACGTTCCAGGAATGAGAAACCTTGCAGTATCAAGTTGACATGGTCAACGCACCTTGTAACGTAAAGTTGACCTGGTCAACGCACCTTGGAGAGCAGTTGGATGGGCAGGATGAGCAGCCCAGACCGCGTTGACCGCGGGAAAGGGCTCCTCCTCTGCATTTTTTTTTTTTATGAAATTGAATTTTTCACCGCTGCTCCCGCTGCTTCATGCGCCTCTGCGTGCAGACCCTTGGGCCAATGATCCTCTCTTCGAAGGGAGCTTTCCGTCTCCAATAGCTCCTCCGTCGCCGTGCTGCTATCGTCATCACTCTCGCTCTCGCTGTCTGATGATAGTGATTCATTGCTGCTGTTGCTGCTGCTGCCGCTGCTGTGGCTGTCGCGGGTGCTGCTGCGGCTGCTGCTATTATCCGATTTTATGGAGCTACTAGACGAGTCATTCCGTTGCAGCCGCGCAGATGATGATCAAAGTCAGTACCGCCATCAATCATCTGGCCGGTTCTAATGCCGACTCCGCTGCCAGTGGTGGCCGCGGCGCCGCCGCATTTCAGCGGACGGCCGTCCCCGCAGATGTCGCTACCGCCACGTTGGTCGTCTTCCCGGGGTACTAGAGGCGGACGGGCGGCGCGAATTACGCCCCGCCATGCGCCTGCTGCGCCACGTAGTAACAGGCTGTTCCAAAGCCCTGCGTTCGGGGTCTCCAAGTCACGCGGCGGCGGCAATTCACTCACGGCGGCCGAGCCTTCGCCTGCAGATTCCGTTGGTACTGTGACGGTAACCGTCACGTTATCATCGCGCGAATCAGCATCGTTTCTTCCGTCTTGGAGTTGAATCCATTCGAGCAGCCTGAGGGAACCGCCGCTTGTTTCTTGTGCCGACTCTGGCGACAGCCGCGAGTGAAACGTTGCTGGCAGGGAAGTAGCAGCCTTAGTAGGCTAGGAAAGCGAGGATATAGTGCTCTCTGGAGTTCTCTGGAAATTGCACTATGACTTCACAAATTTCACAGTACAATTTTATAGAGCACATTCAAATCTCGAGTCGCACTCCCAAGTCGCGACTCTCTCTGAATTACTCAATGGTAACCCAACCCCTTTGAAATGAACCTGCCGTGAAATTCAGAGAATTATTGCGGTACGGGATTGGACGGCGAGATTGGTTACGGGGCTGTAATTTCGTCGGTATTGTTGGCGAAGTCGGCGAGCGGTCGGAACTTCGGTGTTATGCGTTTCGAAATTTTTGCGCGAGGGTTAGTGTTGGGCTGCGCGTCAGGACCTGGTCGCCCAGCTGCAGGTTGAGGCGTTCGACCAATACGAACAGTTGGTGAGGTGGTGCTTGACTTCCGCCCACCTGCATTGTACTTGGCAGCATTCGGCTGCTACACTGTTACAGCGAGGGTCTCTCGTTAGTAGTGTCATCAAAAGCCATACGGCTTTAGGGTGACTTTATGGGGTGGGCTCCTTATTTCCAGAGATGGCGCTCTGTGAAGAAATGAGGAATGAATGAACTAGCAAGCAGGTGGGTACAAGTAGGAAAACCTAAAAGTGTTGTACCCCATATGGTCTACCCCACTACAGCCTACACAGACTATAGCATATAAGTTTGACACACCCCCATAGGCAAAGTGGGGGAGAACAAGAGGTCACAAGACCAGTCAGGCAAAGCAAAGCAAGCTCAAGGTGGATCACAACGTCACAACACATTCCGACACAAGTTCAAGGCCACAAGGCGTGTTCACACGCAAGATCATATATAAAGGTAAACGAGCAAGTGCATGTATAGAAAGATCACAGTACAAGCAAGGACAAGAAGTGAGCAAATGAGGTCAAGTAGGCACAAGACCTAGCATCGTACAGAAGCGCTAATGATCACAAGGTGGAAGTGCCTTGGTAAAGATATCAGCAGTGTTGGCCTCAGAGGCCACGTAGGTGAGGCGGAGCTGACCACGCTGCTGCAGCTCAAGAGCAAGGAAGTAGCGAAGAGCAATGTGCTTCGTTCTGTGCTCCAGTCTGTGCTCCCGATACAAAGCCAGCATGGCCTTGTTGTCTACGTACAGAACTGGAGGAGAACGAGGCGGCTCTCCTAGGTCAGTCAGCAGGTAGGTGAGCCAGCGTAGCTCCTGTGCAACCATGGCCCCCGCGTAGATCTCAGCCTCACAGCTGGATCCGAGAACAGAAGACAAGCGAGTAGACCGCCACGAAACAGAGCCGGAACCAAGGCTGAAGGTGTAACCCTATGACAACCGCTGCGTAGCCTGGTCGTCAGCCCAAGAAGCGTCTGCGTAACCTGGGAGGACCACTAAACGTCGCCCTCCAAGCACTAGCCCCATGCCCGACGTACTGCACAAGTAGCGCAACACCCTCTTCGCTGCAGCCATGTGCTATGGTCGGTGTCTCCCAGGAGCAACATAGCGTGCCAAGATGCTAAGAGGGTATGCAAGGTCAGGTTGTGTGCAGGTCATCAAGTACATGAGGCAGCCAACAAGCTCTGGGTACGGGCCACTCGGCTCTACGGACTCATCCGAAGGCAGAGCTGAGGGAGAGTGGCGAGTAGACAGAGGAGTGGCCTGAGGCGAAGAGTACGTGAAGTCGAAGCGCTGAAGGACCTGCTGCACCATGTGTGACTGCGTTAGGGTAATGGTGCGCTGTGCTCTGTCCCGGGTGATATGCAAGCCAAGGTAGCTGCGCAGTTCACCCAGGTCTGTGCACGTGTGTCTCTTCAGCAGCTCCGACTTCACGTGGGCGAGTCCAGCAGTGTCAGCAGTGGCAAAGACCAAGTCGTCGACGTACACGAGGATGTAGAACGGCGGCAAAGAGGTGTCGGTGCGCAGAAACAGCGACGGGTCGGCAGTAGAAGGAGCAAACCCAAGAGCTGCAAGTGTAGTCCTCAGTGTGTCGTGCCACTCACGAGATGCTGGCGGAGATCGTAGACTGGCCGCCGGAGGCTCCACTGGGTACCAGGGGGAAACAACCTAGTGAAGCCAGGTGGGCGGCGCAGCCAGATCTCCTCGTGCAGGCTGCCCTGTAGGAAAGCAGTGCTGAAGTCAAGAGAGTGAAGCTCGTATTCGCGCTAAGCGGCTATGTGTAGCAGCACCCGAAGAGCGGTCATCTTCGGGGTGGGAGAGAAGGTCTGAAAGTATTCAACTCCCTGCCGCTGACTGAAGCCTCGAGATACGTAACGCGCCTTGAAGACAGGCGGAGAACCCGGCGGCCGATTCACCCTGAAAATCCACATGCCACTGACAATGTTCGCCCCAAGTGGTTGAACCTCGTCGACGTAGGTGCCTCTGGACTTGCAGGAAGCCATCTCTGCGTCCATGGGTGACTGCCACTGTGAGGAGTAAGGACCCCCGAACGCCTCAGCGTACGATCGAAGAGTCGGGATGTCTGGTGCATCCGGGTCTCCCACATGGGCAATCAGCGTGGACACGAGATGAGGCAAAGCAGCAGAAAAACACTAGAACTCCTCCTGCCTGTCCTCAAGGACGTCCGTGCTAAGAGCACACTCACCCCCGACGGAAGGAGGACAGACAGACTCAGACTCAGCAACAAGACTAGCAGCGTAGTCTAGACGACAACGAGCACCAAAGTCGACAAGCTTAGCAACTAAGGCAGACGCAGCAGTGGACTCAAAGGAAGGGTCAATGACAAGAGTAGCAAGGAGACGCGTGACAGTAGGACTTGCAGCACGACGAGAATCTGACTCCGTGTCAGCAAGGACAGGAAACGAGGACTCTAGAGGAGACGGCAACAGGACATGCAGAGGAGCAGTGGAAGGACGCAGTGCCTTCTGGTGTGTGCCTGGGACCGCAGGAGGACGCGGACGCGGAGCACGACTACTAGTGCGAGCAGCACGAACAGGCAACGCAGGACAAGACGCAGGCTCACGACGCTCAGCAAGACCTCCAGTGGGACCAGTGTAGGGAGAAGGTGCAGGTAGGGGGGAGGCGGGCTGTAACTGTGACCGCGACTGGACAGGCTTTGGACACTCTAAGGGAGGAGTAGGACCAGTAGAGGGTGGGAGACCAAGAACCTGCTCAAGGAGTGGAACGAAGTACGGCCGCGGCCGCGCAGCGCCTCCAGGACCAGCAGGGACAGTACCACTACCCCTAACGGCAGCACCAGCTCCAGCAGCACCTCCAGCTCCAACAGCGCCAACTCCAGCACCCTCAGACGCACCAGCGCCAGCAGCACCTGCATCTCCAACAGCGCCAGCTCCAGCACCCTCAGAAGCATCAGCGCCAGCAGCACCTCCAGCAGCTCCAGATCCAGCAGCTCCAGCTCCAGCTGCACCAACTCCATCAGGACCGTCAGCTTCGGCAAGCTCAATAGCACCCCTAGGCCCAGCAGCTCCAGTACCGCCAGTACGAGCACCTCCAGGACCAGTGGCTCCGGTAACTCCAGTGTCGACCCCAGGGTCAGCAGTAACAGCAGCACCTCCAGCTCCAGCAGCACGGCTCCAACGCCGGGCAAACCACTCGCGCAGCTCCTGTGGAGAGGGTAGCTCCCGCCTCGACGAAGCACCCGAAGGGGCCCCAAACCCAGCACCGCCAGAGGCCACATGAGCAGACCCAGCACCCCCAAGCTACGCACCCCCAGGCTCAGCACCCCCAGGCTCCGTACCCCCAGGCTCCGCACCCCCAGGCTCCGCACCCCCAGGCCCAGCACCCCCAGACTCACCACCCCAAGGCTCAGCCCCCCCAGACTCAGCACCCCCAGGCTCAGCACCCCTAGCAGTACGAGAGTCAACAGCTACCTCAACAGGCTCGACTGCGTCTACCTGGGACACACCTGATGGGGCAGGACCCTGAGGGGGGAGGGGGTCTACCGGGGGGGGACCTGGCGCGAGGAAGAGCGGCGGCGGGGGGAGGGGTGCAGTGCGGTAGGGGAAGAGACGGTAGTAAGGAACTGACTCGTCAAACGTGACGTCTTGGGAGGACAGAACACGGCGCGAGGTGGGGTGGTAAAACTGCCAACCAGGCGCGTCAGGGGGGAAGCCAACGAAGACGCAGGGAACCGCACGGGGGGACAGCTTGTCCGCAGACAAGTCGCGGACAAATGCCCGAGATCCCCAGACACGAAACGCAGATGCATCGCCAACCTTCCCCGTCCACTACAAGGTTGGGGAGGTCTCCGGCAAGGAGACCCGGGGCTGAAGTTTGATCTGAAGCGCTGCGTACCGAACCGCAAACGGCCACAGAAAATGGGGAGCGGCCGCATGGATCATGGACGTACGAGCGACGCCCATGACCATGCCAATGCGGCGCTCAGCAATCCCATTTTGTTGTGGAGAGGCCGGAAGCGTGAAGGTCTGGCGGATGCCATGTGCACGACAGAAGGCTCCGAGAAGGGCAGAGGAAAACTCCCCGCCTCTGTCAGAGTGCAGACGCAGAACAGGAAATTACGAGCCGAAACTCTCTCTGAGCTGGAGACGAGCCGCGCGGATCTAGTCGGTCAACACCTCAGTGACGTCACCCTTGCTGCGCAAGGGGAACACTGTGGTGTAACGCGAGTAGTTGTCAACCACCAAGAGGAAGTAACACTCGTGACCTTGACCACGGACGCGGGCGGGGCCCCACACGTCCATGTTAAGAGTCTGCAGGGGAGCCTCTGTCGGAAGAAACTCGGAGGAGTGAGTGGCGGCGCGCAGCCGCCCCTCGACGCAGGGAACGCAGGTAGGGGCAGGCCCCGGAGGTAGGGGAGGGAGGGACCGGGGGAGACCAGAGACAAGGACACGGGAGCCCATGCCTCGGAGACAAGGCAAGGAGGGGTGACCAAGGCGGTGGTGCCAGAGGAGAGTCTGGTGGGACAGGAGACGACACGAGCAGGGAGCAGACTCAGGACCAGACCTGGACGCTGCAGCAAACACCTGACTCGACGCAGCTACCTGACCAGACTCAGCAGTCGGAGGAGACTCAGTAGTCAGTGTGTACAGGCTCGACCCCGGCCGACAGGTAAACGTGGCTAGGTGTCGGCCCGTCCGAGCACACGTACAGTGGGTCACCCGCTGACTCGCAGGAGTGAATTGGTCAACCCCCCCATCCTGTAGATCAGCACCACTCACCAAGTTTGTAGAGAACGAGGGGAGGTAGAGACCTGACAGGGTGCCATAGGGGGCTGCCGGACACGGTAAGACAGTGGAGAAGTGAGCAAGGACAAGACCCTTAGTGGGGTCCGCCAGGGAGACCGCAACCGGCCGACTAAGCGGCATAAGCGTGGTGCGGTCTCGAAAGAAGGAGCGGGAAGCACCCGAGTCAAGGGTGAAGGCGTGTAAGGCCTGAGCCGACGTGGTACCTCAGAGAGCATACTCACCAGCACCTGGAGCAGCAGACGCACTAGCACCTAGAGCAGCAGCCTCACCAGCACCTAGAGCAGCAGCCTCAATGCCCGGGTCAGGCGGAACACACAGGTAACAGTCACCCTCATCACTAGTAGACACAGCATACATGGCAGCAAGAATAGCATCATAATCAAGATCAAAGATAGCAACCCCCGACCTCTGCAGCTCTCCCCAGCGAGGGATCTCAGTGGCGTCAGGGAACTGGAGACGCCAGGTGTCCGTCAGGCGACCGGAGCAGCGCTAGGTGGGGTGCGGGCCCCCGTAATGCTCACTTGTACGGTCGCCGGTACGGAGGACGTAGGTACAGGGACCAGTACCCCCACCCCGCTGACACGAAGCGTACCACTCTCGAAGCTGCTGGGGGGGCGGGGTCTCACGAGTGCGCTGCTGCTGCTGGCGCTGACCACCACCGAAGCCACCCTGACGAGCTCCACCTCCTCCGCCGCCACCTCCGCCACCGCCGCCACCGCCTCCTCCTCCGCCCCCACTGCCACTGCCGGCGCCGCCTCCGCCGCCACCGCCGCCACCGAAGCCCCCACCCCCGCCACCACTGTTGGAGGGAAACAGTGGTGGGGCGGTTCTATGTAATTGAGTTGCTATAAATTGTGTCGCTAGTGCGCCGCGTGTAACAATTTCGGTTGGGTGAAATTCGGCCACCGAATTTCACCGAACACACTGAATGTGACTTCAACTCCAAGGTTGGAATATGGTGCCGCCACGTGGCACCGAAGGGTGTGTCTCCCGAAGTCAATCGGTGCCACCCCACCGATCCCTAGTCAAAGGGATCGAAGGCACCGAAGTGCCCTCGGTGGGTTGGGGGCATACCACCGCCCCACCACCGTTTCCCTCCAACACTCCCCCTTGCATCCAAGCCACTAGGTGTTCATACCAACACGCTCACGGCATGCACGGAATGAATCCTTAGGGAGTGGTTTAGTGAGGAAATTCTCGGGTTGTGTCTTGGTGCTTTTGTATGTGACCTTGACCTCACCTTTCTCGACCACCTCACGAATGAAGTGATGCTTCACCTCAATGTGCTTGGTACGCCCGTGAAGGACGGCATTGTGAGTGAGGTTTATGGCCGCTTGGTTGTCATAAAAGAGAGGAGTTGGGTCGGCTTGAGGATGCCCAAGCTCCGCTAGAAGGCCGCGTAGCCATATTGCCTCCATGGCTCCTTGAGTGAGTGCCATATACTCCGCTTCCGTCGTGCTTAGAGCCACGGTTGGTTGCAACTTGCTTTGCCAACTCACGGCTCCCCCAAGCAAGGTGAAGACGTACCCGCCGGTACTCTTGCGCTTACTTTGATCATCGGCATAATCCGAATCGGTGTAGCCCTTAAGCACGATTAGACCGGTTTCATTTACGATTCCCAAGTTGGGTGTGCCTTGGAGGTAGCGTAGAACACGTCCTCCCGCACGCACATGCTCGGTATGAGGGTTGCTTACGGCTCGTCCAAGTACCCCGGCGGTGTATGAGAGGTCGGGACAAGTGGAAACAGCGGCATACATGAGTGAGCCGACTAGCGAATGAAACCACTTCCCTTCGGCTTTGTCGAGGGCGGATTCTTCCTCTCCCGGGAGGCAAGAAAATCCCGTGTCTAGTGGCGTCCCCACCGGGTTGCTATTACCCATGCCGAAGCGCTCCACAACCTCTTTCACATATTTCTCTTGGTGGAGGTGAATGGCCCCGTTCGCGCGGTCGCGGTCGACGTGCATCCCGAGGTTGTACGTCACCGGTCCCAAGTCCCTCATGGCGAACTCCGCCCCTAGCCGTTGCTTGACCTCACGAATGAGGTCTTTGCAGTCGGAGAAAAGAAGGTCATCGACGTAGAGCAAAAGCACCAATTACTTCTCCCCCTCCTTCAACACGTACAAAGCGCTATCACACACGCTTCGCGCGAAGCCGTGTTGAAGAAGAAAGTCGTCGATGCGCTTGTACCATCCGCGTGGGCTTTGCTTCAAGCCATAGAGGGTACGCTTGAGCTTCCATACCCGTCCGCTACCATTATCGTACCTCGGGGGTTGCCGCATGTAGACTTCTTCCATGAGAAGCCCGTAGAGGAAGGCGGTGCAAACGTCCAATTGTTCCACCTCAATGTTGAGAGATGCCGCTAGCGCGAGCAACACCCAAAGAGTGGAGGCCTTCGAAACAGGAGCGAAGGTCTCACTATAGTGCTCCCCCTCCCGTTGAGTGTACCCTTGCGCCACAAGCCGTGCCTTGTAGCGTTCGACACTTCCATCAGCTCCCAATTTCTTCCTAAGCACCTACTTGCATCCCACCAAGTAGGCACCCTTCGGCGGGTCGACGAGCTCGAAAACATCGTTCTCCTTGATGGATGCTAACTCCCTCTCCATTGCTTGCTTCCATAGCGGTGCATCTGGTGAAGCAAAAGCCTCCTTGTGGGTGCGTGGGTTATCGTCGCCGATGGTCGCTAGGCAAAGTGCCGCACTCTCCTCATCGAACTCCCCAACGGCAACCGTAGCATAGTCGGTTAACCTCGTGTTGGGGCGAGGTGTACGACGCCCGCGAGTTAACGCCAATGGTAGGGAAGAAGGTGCGGAGGAAGTGGCCTCCTCGGTTGGTGGCACCTCCTCGACATCATCATCACACTCCTCGTTCTCTCCCCCTCCACTTACAGCTCCCTTCTCCACGTGCGGTGGAACCTCCACCGCTTCATCCTCCTCTCGTGCGGGAAGGACGACGGTGAGTTGCGGCGTTTGTTTCTCCGTTGTCGGGAACTTGGCTTCGTCGAAGATCACATCCCGAGACGTGACGACGCGTTTTTCATCCGAATCCCACACTCGCCATGCACGCTCGTTCGCCGCAATTCCCAAGTAGATCGCCGCACGAGCTTTCGGTTGCAACTTGTGGCGAAGTGGATCCGGTACATGGTAGTAGCAAAGGCACCCAAAGGTGCGTAGGCGGTATAGGTTCGGCTTCGTTCCGGTCCATGCTTCGAACGGAATCGTTCCCGGTAGCACCTTTGTTGGCACACGATTACGAATCCATGCCGCTAGCGCACTCGCCTCTCCCCACCACTCGTTCCCAAGCTTGGAGTGTTAAAGAAGTGAACGGACGGCCTCCACCAATGTGCGGTTGAGCCGCTCCGTCGCTCCATTTTGTTGGGGTGTGTAGGGTGTCGTGACGTCGTGCTTAATGCCCTTGTTTTTTATCCATTTTTCAAGCTCGTTGTTCACGAATTCGCCACCACCATCGGTGCGAATGCACTTGATCCGCTTCTTGCCGTTGTCGCAAACATCGAGCGCCCACTCTTGAATCGCCTTGGCCGCATCTCCTTTAGCCTTCAAGAGCCGGGTCCAACACATCCGCGTTGCGTTATCGAGAATCACTAAGAGGAACCGCGCTCCTCCCTTTGATGCATGCCGCATCGGTCCACACACGTCCATGTGAACAAGCGCAAGCGGGTCCTTAGCGAGGGGTGAGGTACGGCTACCAAATGGCTTGCGAGCCATTTTTCCTTTGACACACGCCGCGCACACGCCCTTCCCGTCGTTGCCGGCAATCACGTCAAATCCCTTCGCAAGTCCCTTGTTGGCCAACTCCTTGACCGAGTCGTAGTTGGCGTGCGCAAGCCGATTATGCCACATCTTGAGAGTCGCCTTGGAACCTTGCGCCACGTTGGATGAGGCCGTATTCTGATGCGTCTTGAGTTGGTAGAGTTGTCCGTTGAGAACGCCTTGCGCGAATTGCTTCCCCTTCCAAAAGAGGTTCATCTTCGCACCATCGATGGTGACCTTCACATCCTTCTTCGCGAGTTGAGTGACGGAGAGTAGATTCACCTTCAATCCCGAGACGTGAAGAACGTTCGTGATGTCCACTGGCCCGCTATCGACGATGAGACGCGTACTCCCAACTCCAACCACCGGTAGCGATTTGTCGTTCCCGAAGACGACGCGCTTAACGTCTCCCGGAGCACCGATGTTGTCGAGGAACGATGCCGAGTGCATCATGTGTTGTGTTGCATCGGTGTCGAGGAACCACGCGTCGTTTGAAGTGTTGATCCCATCACCGGCCAACAAAACGAGCGACTCCATTGAACCATCCGCCTCTCCGGATGCCGTGTGCGCGTTGCCCTCTTGGTTCCGCGCCTTCAATGGAGTCCAATCCCTCGGCCGCTTCCGACATTCACGCCAAAAATGTCCCGCTTTGCGACAATAGTGGCACTTGCTCGAACCGTTCGATGCGTTGCCTTTGCCGCGCTCGTTTCCACCTGACGACTTCTTCGCCTCACCCTTGCTCCACTTGGACTTCTTTCCGGAGCTTCCTCCGGAGAACATGGCGGTCTCCACGCTCTCGTTAGCGAATTGTCGGCGTCGCGATTCTTCATGGAGAAGCCGACCGACCACCATTTCCTTCGTCCAAGTGTTTTGCACGCTATCGAGTGTCGTAATCACCGTCGACCACTCTTCCGGAAGGCCGCAAAGCAAGGTGAGAATCCAATCCTCCTCCGTGACCGTTCCACCGAGGTCCATGAACGTTTCCCCGAGTTCCTCCACACGAGTCGCATACTTGTGCATCGATTCGCCCGCGCGTAACTTCACCGTGTAGAACACATTTCGGGCTAGGATCTTGCCATGGAGAGTCTTGTTCACGTGCATCGTCTCAAGTCGATTCCATGCTTCACGCGCCGATGCTTCGAGCTTGATGCACGTGCGCACCGAACTCACGAGGTTGATGCCGATGCGCGAAATCAACGTTGCGAATGCCTTTTGGTCCTTCTTCTTCCATGTCGCGATCTCGTCCTCGTTGACCAGCTTTTTCTCCGTTCCGTCGAAGAGACCCCAAAGTCCCCGCTCCATCATGAGCACTTGGAACTTAAATTTCCACGCGGAGTAGTTTTGTCCCGTGAAAATTGGAACCGCCGACATACACCTTCGTGTTTGTCCAGGGTTCGCCGGGATTCGAGACGACACCACCTAAGGAAGTGCTAGAGGTTTCGCTTGACGTCATCATGCTTGCTACAAGTCGCGCACGTAGACTCTACCGACCAGCTCTGATACAACTTATGTAGAGGCGTGTCCTCTAGTTGGCAGGAACTCTAAATTATACTAAGCGATAAAGCACAGCGTCGGCTTTCCAACGAGCCGTCAAACACGTTAATCGCCCAAGTATACGCCGAGATATTGGCGTTCACGTGATTGCTAGTGCTCTTAGAAGCAAGGATAGACCTCTCTGGAATTTTGGTTCGAATGGACCATGAACAAGATGATTCGGGATTTCAATATGTCTCATGCATACAAAGTAATCACAATTTATAGCAACTTAATTACATCGAACCGCATGTGTAACATCGAGTCGCTACATTTCGTGTTGCTAGTGCGCCGCGTGTAACAATTTTGGTTGGATGAAATTCGGCCACCGAATTTCACCGAGCACACCGAATGTGACTTCAACTCCAAGGTTGGAATATGGTGCCGCCACGTGGCACTGAAGGGTGAGTCTCCCGAAGTCAATCGGTGCCACCCCACTGATCCCTAGTCAAAGGGATCGAAGGCACCGAAGTGCCCTCGGTGGGTTGGGGGCATACCACCGCCCCACCACCGTTTCCCTCCAACAACCACTCCCACCACCACCCCCACTCCCTCCTCCTCCTCCACCGCCACCTCCACCGCCCCCGCCAGCCCCTCCAGCGCCCTTGCCCCCCTTGCCCTTGCCGGTGCGGCGTCGCCCGCTAGGGGCAGACGCAGCGCCGACCCACTCGGTGCCAACGAAGTCGACGGCAGCAGCAGAAGCAACAAAGGGCAAAAGGGGGGAGGGGGAGCACCCCTCGAAGACAGGGGCACAAGGGTCACCTCGAGAGGCTCCTACAACGACTATACTCTTCTCAGCTGCCAGGAGGCGCTCCTCGAGGAGGTCAACGGTGAGTGTGGTGGGGCAAACAGAGAGGAAGTGGTCCCAGACCGAGCGAAGGGAGTCAGGGAGCCGGGTGACTATGTAGTAGAGGGTGATGTACATGGGGGGGGGGGGGTTCTTGGCGCAAAACTCAGCCGGAAGCGCAGCGCGGTAGCGGGTGTCACTAGTGCGAAGGTGCGTAACGAGGTCAGCGACAGTGAGAAAGGCGGCGAGGTCAGGAAACAGGTACGGCAGGATGAGGCGGCTAAGGGCAGAAGTGGCAGGGGAAGGGTAGCGTGCAACTACAGCGTCGTACAAGGTCTTGAATGAACTAGCAAGTAGGTGGGTACAAGTAGGAAAACCTAAAAGTGTTGTACCCCATATGGTCTACCCCACTACAGCCTACACAGACTATAGCATATGAGTTTGACACGCTCCCGCTGCTGTCGACTTCACAACATGGTCCAACTGTGTACTTGGGTTGCGATCTGCGACTGGAAACAAATATGCTTCCTGAATATGCCGCGTCGCTAGATTCTGTCGGTAGACCAGGATCTACGATATGTCAGGTGGTGACGGGCGCAATCACAGCCCCGAACTCGCCTCGCTAACACGCAGATAACATTCGCGATTCGAAAAGTCGAGAACAGTTCCTTTTACTCATTCGGAGGTGATCACTTGGACTCTTCACCTCGCAAGAGTCTCCTAAGGAACGGGTATGCTATCAGTGCAATGATCAGGATGAGTGATGTCACGTGGCGGCTGCAGTTCCAGCTCTGATCGATCGTCGTTCCGCTGCCTGTACTATATTTGGTGGGGGCGATGTATCGAGCGCTAAAATATGGTGCTTGAAAATTGTGCTTGGCTTGGATAGTGAAATTCATGTGATCGGCAAATTGAAGTTGATCCGCCCCTCTTCTCCAAACCAAATGTGACGTGACGTGAATTGTGATGCGCGTAACGCGTTCCCTCGCCAAGAAGGCATGTCCCAAACGTACTTTTGAAAAAAGCGGTTGAGTACAGTATTGTGCACTTTAGAGCGGTACTCTCGGGTCACCGCTCTGAACCGCTACTCACCAACCTGAAAGTATGTCTGTACATAAACAACGAACAAACATGCAGGGCCCGCCATTTGCGCCATCAACTCGCTCAACATGCATGTTGAGTGGGTTTGGCGCAAATCGACGCCACGTTTCTCAACACACTGGACTGGACCTACAATTCCATTTCGTTCATTCTTCGTGGCTAAGAACGGCCCCACACGGTGGAAAGCGGTATTTGATGTCTACTGTTAATTCCACCTAGACAAATCATGTCTGGGTACAGGCAGATCATGTTTTGCTGTGAACTGGGATCCCCCCTAAAGGCGGATTATGTATTCCTTTTAGAGTGGGAGAGGTGAACTGAAAGCAATCAATTTGAACATAATGTGTGTTATAATTGGGTTCAAAACGATGTTGATGTTACTAGCCTCAGCACCAACGCCCGAGTCCTCAGCACCAGCAGTGGCTCCAACACCAGGGTCCACAGCACCTGCCGCAGCTCCAACGCCCGGGTCCTCAGCACCAGCAGGGACTCCGACACCACGGTCCACAGCACCAGTCGCAGCTCCAATGCCAGGGTCCGCAGCACCAGCCGCAGCCCCAACGCCCGGGTCCTCAGCACCAGCAGCACCTCCAACCCTCGGGTCCGCAGCACCAGCAGCAGCTCCAACGCCAGGGTCCGTAGTACCAAGGGCAGCCCGGTCCGTGAGGTGCACCACTCCGAAGTGTGCAACGGCGCTCGTACCACTAACGGATCCGCTCACGAGAGGGGAGCTCTCGACTAGGAGGAGAAGTACCAGCCCCAGTCCGTGTAGTGCGCCTCGTCCCAAAGGTAACACTCCGGAGGCTGCAGTACTGTAACTACCACTCACGCAACTGCTCCGAGGAGAGGTCGCGTCCAGGTGTAGCACCCTCAGGCCCGCCACCGCAAGGCTCAGCACCCCAAGTCAATGCACCCCCAGGCTCAGCACCCCCACGCTCAGCACCCCCAGTGTCCGCACCCCCAGTGTCCGCACCCCCAGGCTCAGCACCCCCAGAGTCCGCACCCCCAGGCTCAGCACCCCCAGAGTCAGCACCCCCAGGCTCAGCACCCCCAGTCTCCGCACGCCCAGGCTCAGCACCCCCAACAGGACGAGAGTCGACACCAACCTCAACAGGCTCGACCGGGTCTACCTGAGACACACCTGAGGGAGCGGCACCCTGAGGGGGGAGGGGGTCTACGACAGCAGCACCTGGCGCAAGGAAGAGAGGCGGGGGTGGGAGCGGGGCAGTGCGGTAGGGAAAGAGGCGGTAGTAGGGGACAGACTCGTCAAAAGTGACGTCCTGAGAGGGCAAGACCCGCCGCGAGGTGGCGTGGTAAAACTGCCAACCAGACGCGTCCGGAACGAAGCCGAGGAAGACACAGGGAACAGCACGAGAGGAGAGCTTGTCCGCAGACGAACCGCGGACAAAAGCTCGAGATCCCCAGACCCGGAAACGTGACGCATCGCCAACCTCCCCCGTCCACAGCAGTGTGGGCAAGGTCTCCGGCAAGGAGACACGGGGCCAGAGTTTGAGCTGATGCGCAGCGTACCGTACCGCAAACGGCCACAGAAAGTGGGGGGCAGCCGCATGGATCAAGGAGGTACGAGCGACCTCCATGACCAGGCCAATGCGGCGCTCCGCAACCCCATTCTGCTGTGGAGAAGCCGGAAGTGTGAACGACTGCTCAATGCCGTGCTCAGCAGAGTAGGCTACCAAGAGGTCGGAGGAGAACTCACCACCTCTGTCAGACTGCAAGCGCAGGACAGGAAAGTCCGAGCGGAAACGCTCGCTGAGCTGGAGACGAGCTCTGCGGATCCAAGGGATCAAAACATCAGGGACCTCACCCTTGGCTCGCAAGGGGAAGACCGTGGTGTAGCGCGAGTAGTCGTCAACAACGATCAGGAAGTACCTCTCCTGACCCTGACCACGGACGCGGGTTGGGCCCCACACGTCCATGTGGAGCGTCTGCAAAGGAGCAGTCGTCGGGGGAAACGAGGAGGAGTGAAGAGCGGCGCGCTGCCGCCCCTCAACACAGGGAAGACAGGGAGGAGCAGGCGAGGGTGGGAGGGGAGGGAGGACCCTGGGAAGACCAGAGATAAGGTACCGGGAGTGCATGGCACGAAGGCGCTGCACAGACGGGTGGCCCAGTCGGTGGTGCCAGAGGACAGTCTCCTGCGCTAGAGAGCGACACGAGCAGGGGGCGGACACCTGACCTGACGCGGACGCAGAAGCAGACGCAGCGACCTGAGGGGGGGCAGTAGTCAGTGTTTACAGATCCGACCCCGGCTGCCGGGTGAAGGTAGCAAAGTGGCGGCCTGTACGCGCACACATGCAGTGTGTGACACGCTTGTAGGCAGGGGTGAACTGGTGAACACCCGCGTCCTGTAGTGCACAACCTGCCACCATGTTCGTAGAGAACGAGGGGAGGTGGAGACCTGACAGTGTGCCCA